AGGAGAAAAGCATACCATTTGAATCAAATAATTGGTTGACTAAAACAATGTTATTCCTAAACCAACTATCTAAGAAGAAAGATTTTCTTTTTTAAATAAAATATCCTTGTTATTCCAGATATAATAACTGTGTGGACTAAAGTTATGCTTATAAATAAGAGTCCATGCTAAAAAAGCTTGACGATGAAAAGCAGAGATTTTTATAGGGATTTTATCAATATCAAAATTACAGGTATGGAAAAATTCAGTGCCACCTAACTTAGAAAACATGAACACGGGTATAGTATTCCAAATGTAATGACCATAACACACCACTTTAAATTAAAACACATTGATTTGAACTTGTCCTTCACATGAATCTGATTTTTTTTTTTCTCCCATTAGCAACTGAACTAGAAACAGCTGTAATATGAAAAAAGAATACTTATGAATATTATTAGGGCAGTGCTCAAGCCCAGACGTTTTATAATCAAATAATAATCATGACCACAATAATAAAGAAGGGAAGAAAAGAACAGAAAATAAAGAAAAAAAGCTTTAAACTTCAAAGCAGACGATGTCACACCAGAGTTTATTTAGAGGCATGTGTACTCAGCCCAACACTTATATCTATGAACGGATTTTCAAACGCTATCTTTAACAAAGAGAGAGTAAATTCTCAGGAAACAAATACATATTCAAACACAATGGGCAATAACACAGCTAATCCAGACAGTGTCAGGAGTCATGTCACAGCAAATGATGTGAGGCCACTCCTGGACCAATTGCTAAACACAGGAGCAGTGCCAGCACTTCCGGTCTGATAATGCAGAATACGCCACCACAGAAAGGATTTGTAATTTTGTAGAGAAAATCATCGACCTTTACTCGGTGTAGAACTGAGGTTTTGCCAGGACACTCCTGTCACTAGCAGAAAAACAGCGGCCCCAAAGGAGACTTCAAAACATCACAACAGAAAAAACTGAAAATGTCGCAAGAAATGTCACCGTCAATACTAATATCAATAATGTTCACTTCTTTAACAACTGGCAGTTAACCATCCCATTGTTTCAGGAGTAATGTATATCGATAACCTTGAATAGTTTTAAAACAAAGAAAAATACAGATACTTCAAGTTAACATCAATAAAAGCTTTTACATTTTACACCCTAATTTCTGTTTGAATAAATACATGTTATTTGTTATTCAGTTCAAACTGTGGGTAGAAAATGCTGTGTGACCTGTTCTCTAATGTTTGCCTCTTTTGTTTTGTATATGTTTCTCCTTTTTGTTATTTATTCCTGTAGCTGGTGTGGAATTCACTTTTTCACAAAATTATTTTAGCCCTCTATGGTATTGATTTTAGTTTTTCACAGAAAAAACTTGTTTTAGATTTCAATTAATAACTTATCATTTTAACAAACAAGCCCTGCGACAGACTGGCGACCTGTCCAGGGTGTACAGAATGTATTTTTAGTGACACAGGACACAAACAAGGAAGCAAGATGTGTAATTAGGATTATTTATAATAAATCTGAATTCATTAGCGCAATTTCTTTAACCATAGAGAATAACTAAATCCTTCAGGACAAAGTCACATCAATGCACTGAACTCACTATGTTACTACTTACCTTTGTTTGAATGACAGCGTACTCACAACGTGGAGGCTTAAAAATAGCCAAATTTTGTACCCAGTCCTATATAAATATATTTTAAAATGTATTTTAGCGCATATATTTTTTGGCCAATTTTTGTGTATTTTGAAATACATTTCAAAATATATTTCAAAATTTTTTTTTTTTTAACTGCCTCTCGCTCTATGACAGCTGGATAGGCTTCAGCACCCCCCGCGACCCTGAAAAGGATAAGCGGATACGAATGGATGGATTTTAACAAACATCAAGTTGATGTTCATAGACGTACACACATTTGCGCCATCATTTACATACACACACACACACACACACATATCAGATATGGTCTTTTACTTTGAAATCCAAAACAAGATGGCCTTGATATTGACAGCGTCCTACTACAGTACAAGGGTGTGTCATTTGGATCTAGAGTGTGGAACAAGACTAACCGATATTTGTTATTATGTATTTAACGTGTCTGTTAATGTTGAAGCTAAATTCACTCGAAGTTGGTCTTTATTTTGAAATGAGGTTTCCACGTCTCTTGCTGTAATACTCAGACTTGGAGAACGGCTCATGAGCTTGGACAAAGGAATGTGGAGTAGAGCCACTGCTTCTTTGTGTCAAAAGGGAAAAGTTAAAGTGTTTCAGGCATCTTTTTGTAGGTTTTCCAGGTGCATCCAACTGTGAGGAAATTCAGGGGAAGAACCAGAAATCTGTGAAGAGATTATATTTCTTGGCAGACCAGGGAGCACCTTGGAACAGGAGGTGGAGGAACAATGCTTGGGAAAGGAACATGTGGTACACTGTGCTTAATCTTCTGGCACTTTGGACAAGCAGAGGAAAATAGGTGGATTGATTTATGTGTGGTGCTGGAAACATTTTACCAACTTATGAACTTATAAGTCTAAAACAAACAAGTTCATGCTGTGATTGCTGAAATTCCCTATCACCTGAGGGTCATGTGACACAGTTATCTTGGGTCAGATGTTCTCAGATGTTCGTGTTTCTGCACAGAGCTGAAAGGTTTGAGTTAGACAACTTTTCCACCTTCATTCGGTTGGTTTCCTGTGCGTGCTCCGTGTGGTGCCCTGCTGTGAGCAGCAGCTGTCCTGCATTACCTGGTGCTGTCACTAATTAAATAAATTAAATTTAATGAAGTCAAACAGGGAGAGCATGTTTATAGAAGAGCTCGT